CAGAATCAGCAGGAGACACCCTACCATATTTTTGTTTTACCATCAAACAGCTGTAGCAGAAAAGGATGATTACTTAAAAATGGTTATTTCTTCTGGCATAGAACAAGAGCAAGCCAGAGAATAGATATTTCATCAGTTAAATCTTTACAATAGCAAAGTGAAGTGGTGGTTTTCTTTCTAGCTTTCGGCACCAAATGCAAACCTGTGCAGTGACTGGGTTTACACGAAGTCACTGTGAAAGAGCAACAGAATTTTTAAGAAGCTGTCAGTGGCTTATCTCACAGCTGGCACCTATTAATACAGTGAGTAATTTCTGCAGACCCAGATAGGCTCCCAAATTAACACTATCCATTAAGAAAGCCCGTGGAGTGCTACAATTATGTCAGAATGCTTTGGCTGGCAATAAACAAATCATTCCTGATGTTGCATTCGCATCCATTAACATAGGTTTCTAACCAGAAAAGCTGTATCTTTTTTTTCTATTTACAATTCAACTCAATCCATACATACGTTATCATCCAGAAAAATATCAATTTCTCTATTATTTCCACATCAGCAATTTTTTGTAGGAACTAGCCAGTTTGACATTGCACTTTTCTCTAGTAACGTTCCCGTGTTAATGTGTGCTTTCACCCAGCCTCCTCAGACTGCTCAGAAGTGGCACAATTACTTCAGACTCAGCAGTGCAGCAGTAAATTACAAATTGTCCTCTAGCTTGCTTTTTGCTCACCCACAGAAAACTTCTTCCCTGCTGTTGTTCTCAGAAGACTTGTGGTTCCATCTGCTTATTTTATTTCCCAGGTGGAAAATAAAGAGAAAAAACCCAAACAAGATAAAACTGAAAAGTCTGCATCCATTTAAACCTCTTTAGAATCAAGAGTGGATGCTTGGAGTTAAGCAGAGTCACTGAAGATTTATAGTGACAGGCAGACAAGAACTCAAACCCTTAGTCCAAGTGAGCTAGGAACACATGTAAACACCCTGGAAGCAGGTCTAAACAAGAAAAAAAACTGTGCCCACTGTTTATTTCAGTATAAACACGTAATGCTATCTTGAAATAAAGTCTGTGAATCAATTCAGGGAGTACATTTGACTCTGTTAACTACCAAAAGAAGTCTCCTCAGGTGGGACACTGGAGAAGTACTGAATACTAAGCTCCAGTGCTCAGTTGCTGGTTAAGAGGGAAGCCAGGCTGGAGTAAGGAGAATATTGCCATGATTCTGGGGATTTAGGTGTTGCAAGTCCAGCCTCCAAAATAAAATAGCACTAAGAACTCATCTAACTTGGCTCGTTTGCTGAAAGCACCAAGAGGCTCCAACAACTGCAAGTTACCAGACACATAAAAACTAGAAGCAGTAACTTGTTCTGAGAGTATGATTTAATCTTCCTATGGGGACCTCAATGCAAACATTTGCAGAAGTTGCTGGTATCCTGGAGTAATGTATCCAGGCTTCCCAGCTGAAGAATGCTTTGCAACGCAGTTATCCTAATACAGCTGACAAATATGGTGCATCGCTGCTTTTTACAAACGCTCTGACTCTTCCCATCTCTATTAATTTCAAACAGAGAGTGACTGTGCAGTCGTATTTGCCTGTGCAAAATATTTCATATGCAACAGAACCCCCCTGCTATTACACAGCTTGTTACCTGCTGTATAATGCTTAGTTGCTTCTTAAAATAAATGTGTATCTAATAAAGCAACATCAGTACCTGATAGGGGTTTTTTCCCAAGAAAATAAAAAATTGCACTGACTTCCTTTGCATCTGACACTCCTGACTTTTGGAAGGCTCCTGGTACCCAAATCTGACCCTTCTTCCTCGCCAATTAAAAATTAAATAAACCAGCAGACAACAAAAGAAATATTTCACCCAGACAATCTTCTGGAACTGATTGTCTCTTGCTTTTAACTCCCTGGCTTTCCCACTGTCCAGGTACAGCTGCAGCACACTCATATTATCACCGACGTCCCTACTATTCATCTTTGTACGGGTAACATTAGCTTTACAATGCTTCCCATCTTTGATAGCACTGGAAGCAGACGTTTCAAGGTTGCTTCTGAACTTGGAGGTTTTGTATAGCAACACCATTCATCAGCACATCGAAGACACTGTGATTGGACAGGCCAGAAATAATTCTTCCAAGCTCTTTCCTAAGGACTTCAAACTGAAGCTGCAGCATGCTGTGAGAGATCATCCTGACTACGCCTACTACCCCAACCCTTCCTACACCTTCTCAACATCAGAGAAAGATTATATAATGTGTAATATCATCACCATAGGTGATTTTGGGGGGGGGTTCGGTCTTATTTCCAGACCTCAGATGTACTGTAAGGAACATAGAGTACTGACATGTTTGTGGTATGTGTCTTCTTATAGAGATCTGAGTGAATGATTCAATACTCAAAACTTCTTTTCTTTGTACGTACCAAGGTTCAAAGTCTTTTTGCATGGATCACAGGATGTAGATTTCACAGGATGCATCAGTTATTCTTTGGATATAGCAGTTTTTGTGACAACTTACAATGTTTCAGTTAATTTTTAACTTAAAAATTACCTCCACCCCACTTTTGTAGAGTTAAAGCTCCTGAAATCTCACATGTAAGCTTCAGTTGGAGAACACACACTGGCCGTATGTCACTAAGGACTCGTATAGAAACGGCTGTAGGCAATAACCATGTGCAGATCTGTACCTCAATATATAACACTGGAGAGAACAAAGCCAAGCATCATCCTTCCTCACTCACAGATTTGCATGGTTCAGTTTAATTGGGCAAAATCAGTCGGGGACACCGGCCTCATCTGTTAATAGCTCTCCCTAACAGCACACACAATTACCACCAAGTCCCCATCACTCTTGTGAAGGATCTCTGTGCCTGACTGCGAGTCAATTAATGATCAGGTTTATAAGGGCTCTTTGGCTGGTGCTGGTTTCCCCAGTAATGCAAAGCAGCTGTAGGCCTGGCCTAGCTCATGACTATTTCATTTGCTTAACATTGCCAAGTAGCAGCACAAAGCAACCAGTGCTTACTGATGAATCTGTCTCAGAACTTCAGATATGTTTTCAGCTGAACCAAGGTTCCTCATATATATCTTTAGGTTTTGGCCAATATTATGCTACTATTCTTGTGTCTTCTCACCGAGTTTCTTTCTGGGTTTTATTGCTAAATATTCCCATGTAAAACCTTTTAAAAAAATTCTCGCAGATCAATGTTAAATTGGCATTGTTATTGAAAATATGTATCACTAATTTAACTGAAAGTACTGCCAGGAAAGATATGAACTGCACCTAGTGATGGATGCTCACATCAAAATCTAGATCCCCTTTTTCACACATTTGGTTGTATTTGCAAATGATGAACTGAATGTCAGGTCCTGACTGGATGTTACCAAAGAGACTAAAAGTAAATACATATTCATGCACTGAAGTCTGATGGCTATTTTACTTTTGTGAGTTGATATCTCAATTTTAAGAATGCTTTGAATTATAAATTGATTAGTCTGCTTTATTTCTATACTACTTTATCCTTTGATCTATAGATTACAACACTCGTTAAGAGATACGAATCTGCTGCATATTTAGGAACAGAGAGAAAAACTCTTAAATTGCATTAGTCATTTTCCATTGGTGTTGATAAAGCAGGCAGTTTGCTGTCAGTTACAAAGTGTTTAGTTTACCTAACCCTATATTCAGACTACCAATTAGTCATGCATATCAAGGTAATCTGTTAATTGAAGACTTCTTTATGTTCATGCCTTGTCCTAGTCAAGCCAACTAAAAAAATCCCAGTGTTTGCTCCATTATGAGCATGTTCAATTGAACTTCAAACTATGTTGTATTCCTCTTTGAAGCTGTATCATCCTTTGATTACTGCAGCATCTAAAATGAAAATTGGAAGGGTGATACTTATTGTGGTACCAAACCAATTCTGTAGCTTCAAAGATTATAGATTTAATAGATTTGGTTTGGAAGATTAACCTATCAATAATGTTAGCATTAATGAAAATAATACCCTTCTACCCTATAATGGGCTTTCTTCTAGGTCTAGTCTGCCTGTCTTCTTCCTCATATCAAAGAAAAAGTTTTCAAACATCAAGAATTACGTGTTGCAAGTTCCATTTAAATCATTTATCACTGCTCTTTTGATTGCTTGTTTTTGAAGCAATCCACATTTTCTCTGCCTGGTAAGAGTGTTACGATGCCCTTTATTCTTTTAGACTAATCCAAAGTGTTTGCTCGCTACACTTGAGTGTTCTGCTCTGTCAGAATGATATCTTATCCTGGCAAATGTCCAGCTGGTATTTCATTTGAATTTAAACAGTAGAAACCATTATGATTTTGAACTCCCTTTACTCAATTTTCATCATACAAAACCATGTTTGTACCCCAGTGCAAATACCTGACCTTTCCGCAACACTGTTTGAAATTAAGGGATAGTTAGCTTTTGGACATGCCATGAAATCATAAACTGTAATCTATCTCAAAGCTACAACTTGCATAAAGCTCAGCTTGGCAGACCAGAGAGATTATGATTCATACTTTAATTTTATCTGTCAGGTGCTATTGCAGTGCTATTCTGGCTAGTGTCCCAGGCAAACTCCTAAGAAGACAGAACACGGCTCTTTGAATACGTGCAGGTTTTAGACTTTGAAGCTCCACAACCCCTCTTGTACATGACCTCCTGAGGTTACCAAGGGAACAGGAAGTCAATCAATCATTTCCTGACACTGTCTTATTGCGGTGCTTTTTTCCTATGTCTCCTCTACAGTTTGTGATCTTCTAGTTACACAGGGACAGATTCTTACCTGGAGTTAAGTGTGCAGGTCAAAAAGCTGACATAAAGGAATGATGGTTAACCCAAGCAGAGTATCTAGCTTGTTTTACTGCACATTAATGAGAGACATGGCTAAGGAATTTCTGCTACCTCTCCCTTCTTAACTGTGGAATGGCTTTTTTCCAACAAATAAATCTAATCATAGGATTTTTTGTTTCTTTCACAGAATTGAACTACAGATAGAATTACTGAATTTATTTGAAGTCTTCTTACATGTGCAGCTAACAAATATTCTGTTGTTGCTATACAAAGCTAGCAACTCACATTATTAATTAGTTTATCTGCTTAAGTACTTCCCCAAGGATAAGGGAAATGGTAAAGCCTTTACTGTATGTTCCCCTGGTATCATAAAAAAGACATGTAACACTTCATTCTTAGCAGTATGTATCAATGGTTATATGAAAATAGTAGTAATTAAATAGACCTAGTGAGAACAAATTTGGACATTAAAGCTGTCTAGAATGCTACAGAGTTTGCAATTAATTAAAAACAGAAGCTTCTAGATAGCCTTTTCATAAATCCAGTCTTCAGGAAAATGTAATTCTTCTCCAAACCATCTAATTTAATAGAGTATTATAAAGATTTTATTCTTCTGGTAGAGGTATATTAAGGCATTGCATGTCCTTATATATTTTGCAAGCTGTAACTAACAACCGAGGCAGAGATCTGTTGGTATGTTTGAAAGCATAAATCAGAAGCTGTCACACAAAGCTGACTTAAAGCTTGTGCTTACACTGCCTTGATCCCAGGGTTTCTTTGAAGATTTCTTTGTAAGGCTGCAAGAGAGCATTCTGGGGGTTAGTCAAATGCACGTAATGGCTACAGATGATGGTAACTCCAGTGCAGAAATAAGTAGCAAAATTTGTCATTTCTCAAACTCCTTTTTGTGTAACTACATTTCCTTTTCCTTTTTAGCAGGCAGAGAGCAGCAGTTTAGCTTGCGAGCAGAGCTTTGGCACCAGTAGTGTGTGTGCTTTTGCAGCATTGGCTGTGCAGCCTCCCCATCATTTGCAGGCGAGACAGCAGCAGTCAGACCATGCAGTGCAGCTGCTTTGTGAAGAAGTGTCTGACCTCAGTGTTGAACTTCCAGTGACGGTGATCATCTTGATAATTGCAATACTCTTTTTCACAGCACCCTTCTTTTTTTTTTTAAGGTTTAAATCATCTTAAAAATAGCAGCACTGCAGGAGCAGAGGCTTTTATTTGATCTGTTCTTCTTGAATTCTGAACAATTTGGAGACTCTTCTACTTGAGCAATTACCTAACAGGAGGAATCAACACCGATCCATGTCGACTGACAGGTTCCTCTGGGAGATTTCTGCTTCTCCCAGCCCCAGACCACCTGTCAGTGCAATGGGCTCACTACAGACAGTGCTCTGAACCTACAGGCAAAGCCTGAGGGTACGGTCCGTGTTAATTAAAAGAACTTTATTACCATTTCACATCTATATATTTATTTTGAAAAATAAGCTCTCTAAAGGACTTCTACCAAATATTGAGTCTCTGCACAGTCCAGTCCTGCACTTGGCAGCAATACAAATCCAACCAAAAAGATGGGGAGAGAGACAAAGGGGTGGTAAGACGCAGCGCATGGCTATTTAGGGATGCTGGCATTGCAATAACCTTAACGTGATGGCAGGGAAATTATCTTCTCCTCAGGGGACAGGTTTCCTTGCCCGGCCTTGATTCTGAACCCACAGTGATGGGTTCTGTTAACTGGATCTGATCCCTGTGCTTTTTTTTATTCATTTTTATTGTTAGATGCTATATTTTATATTCATTTAATTAAAAGGAGAAAAAAAATAAAAGGACAAATGGAAGTGTAACACTGGGGCTGGAAACAGAGGATACTGACATGGATTATGTCATGAAGGATATAATCTTTTGCCAAACTGAGACAAAGCTAGTGATTCCAAGCCAAAAAAGAAAAGTGAGATCTCTTACCAGCACTCCTGAGTGCTGCACCTTTACTAAATCCATCATTCTCTTCCTTACCTAGAGTAATATGGAAACTAGGAAAAGGGGACTTGAAAGGTTTTTCATGAAGATCTCTTACATCAGAGTATTTCATAATGAAAACGTAGTGAGCTGATATGGACTACCTTTTAAGTCAAATTTGCAGCTGTTTTGAATATTTATGTACCCATGTCTCTGTGTGGGTATGTGTGCATATATAGCTGTGAGCAGTGAAATACGCTTTATATTATACACAGAGAAGGCATTCTTCTTAAGGACTCATTACCTTTGTATGCTTTTTTCTGACAGAAGGTTGGTTTATTCATTCGCTACTTCTATTACATCTGAAAAAAGCAGGACACCTGCAATCTCCTTTTTTTTTTCTCCTGATGCCACAGTGCTGCACATTCACCCTTTCCCCTTCGTTTGTCAGAGATAATGCCTGTAAGTCAAATTCTGATCTCAAAGTAAATCTAGAGGAATTTATGAAAGAGATTTAAAGTGAGAAAAATTGAATGGCACTTTTGATCCAAAGGTGGCTTATGGCACTTGTGAATCCAGCCGTTGCAGTAGGTGTTTGCTTGCTGACTGACACGACGTCGGAGTACTGCACTGCAGCTGGAATTGCTTAGGGGCTTTAGTTCCAGTATTACATTTTTTGCTCTGACAGCTTTTTAAAAATGCCACGTAGGACCAGGCAGCGATGTGACTTTCAGCCATATCCCCTAATCAGATTCAGAATGCTTTAAATGTTGCTGTAAAGTGTGAAGTCTCCTCTGGGCTGCTGTTCTTCCTTTGGCACTATTTCCACTGGAAGCCTGCCACCTGCCCAACACAAAAATAGGAAACTCAACCTCTGGCCAGACTTTAATGCTTTAAAACAACTCCTAAAAGAGAGAGCATCAGTGAAGGTGAAAGGCAAGCAAGAGAAGAGTGAGACATGACAGAAAGGGAACTTGGAGGATGGAGTAGGCAGAATTACTGGTACAGAAAAACAGCTAAAAAGATAAATCTCAGATGTAGAGGAAAAGAAAACAGGGAGGAGGTTGAAAGAACACATAAAGATGAGAATGAAAAAGGGAAAAAGAAAGAACCAGGAAAAGGACAGAGAGTGAAAGAGGGAGCAAAGTAGGAGAAATAAAGGCAGATGATGAAATTAGGGAGCAGACCTGAACAGACAGCATTGAGAATGGGCTATGTTTTTTTCTCTCATATAGCCCTGAGGGAGCTTGGCCTGCCAATCAAGGTATGTATGTATGTGTTCACCCCTGTAACCGACTAGATCTTATGCTGATGTCAGCAAGAACTGGCAGCTGAAGACAGAGATTGTTTCTGTTTAAAGGAGCCTCTGCAATGCATACCCATTCCTCCACCACAGGGTGCTCCGGCTTCATCCAAATTAACCCCCCTCAGAAGAGGATGTAACATATACTACCTCAAGTCCTCCTGATGGGAGCAGCCAGGGAAAGATTTAGACCCAAATTTAAATAGGTGATACAGGCTGCTTCACTCCAGTTTCTTTAACCCCAGAGATCCAAATCTACAAAGGCTAGTGAGCCTGCTGCCTTTATAGATGGTTCAAAGCAAGGCCCCAGCTTTATCCCTTTGAACCATTTGCCCTGGAGAAGCCAATCTTTCACCATTTGTTAGGACAGAAACTTCCACCAGCTCCTCAAGTCCAGACACGGGGTGTGTGAACAGCTTTCCTGTGTTTGAAACCATCTCTTGGCATAGCTTCAATTCAGCATTCACAAGCACTTCTCTGGGGCACAGGCACCTCTTTTAGCACACTCTCCTGTGAGAGATACGATAGAAGAATTAAGTATCAGTAGTATTTATTAACCATTTTTAGTGACCTATCTGAAATGAATTACCATCTTCAGTCTAAAAGATTGGTATGTACATGACCATGCCTGGGAATCACAGCAAAAGGACCAGAAATATTTAATGAGTGCTGAGAATGTCCTTTTATTCCTAGCAGTGATCCTTCACACCTCAGATCACCTCTGAGAGAGGCTGAACGGAACAAGTAGGGAAATTTCTAAGAGTTTTCTGTAATGAAGGGGAGAGATTATAGAGCTGAACACTCTTCATCTTTGAAATTCACTGAAAAATCTGCAAGGATAAAGGCTGTGCCCAAACCAGGACAGTGAATGTGAAATAGGCAGTAACTGAAAGAATTATTTGATAGTTACCAAGTGTCTGAATATTAAGTGGTTTGATAATTTCATTCCAGTCCACAGAGGACAAATATAAAACATTACCACTATGGTCAATTTTTTCTTGATCCTACACACGAGTACTGCTCTTATGCTATAACCCGTGAGTGCTCTATGTACAATCCTCTGTGTTTAGAGCCAAATTAACACAAAGAGTCAAATTATGGCCCTAGAAAGACTCCTGGACTTACTCACCTCCGTGATACTCCAGGTTCATGAGAGCACATCCCTGCTGATGCCAGGGGTATTCTAACTGTGTGAAACCTGAGGATATGGTGGTAAGCCAAGTCTTGTGAATACAATAGTTCCCTAAAAATTATTCGATGTGTTTAGGTCAGGCTTGTATACCCCCAATAAAGTACAAACTCTTTTAAAACATATTTTAGGCTCTTTCAGGTTACAATGTACTCTATATGTGGTTCCTCTCAGCCCCAGCCCTTTCTAAAGCAGAATTTCCCTCTACTGCGTCCACACATTAAGAGAAGCATGGACTGCCAAGAGCTACTGATGCATTCGTGATGGCTTGGGCTGACCCCAAGGCTGAGGCTGGACAGGCAGTTCTCACTGTCACCAATCTTACTGTCTTTCTTTATTAGAGGGTCTGCAAGTATCTTTTACTTTTCAAAGCTGATTTTTGTTTGGTTGATTGGGTTGGGTTTTTCTGCAGTGCAGTAGCATACAGAAGCCCAGACAGGACTTGGGCCTCAGTATACCAAGCATGTTAAAAAACCTCACCAAATTCCCATGAAGAGATTTAATTGTGTTGATTTTATTATATTAGTACAACCCAAGCAAAACAGACACATTGTGCTGGAATAATGTGCATTTGTTCCAGTGCAATTTTATACTTACCTAGTTTTCCTTTTTATGAACAGGGATTAAAAGATGGTTTATCTACAATACAATGATAATTGTCTTTATGGACAGTTTTTTAAACTCAAGCAGTGATGAATCGATTACTTAATTGCTCAAGATGCTGGTAATGCATCAACTGGCACTGGTTTGATGGTCCCAGTACTGACTAACTGGCATATCTTCATACGGATTTACACAGCAACAGCCTATTCTTAAATAACGGTATGTGAACATTTTTTTTCAGGAACAACTGTAATTTTCTCTGCAGCAAGAATTTTCATACAAAAAGATACCTAGAAATTGCTACCATATCCTTTTACATCCTTTTTTAATACAAATAAATTTTGAAGTGAGAAGTCATGCATGCAAGAACATTTATACCATAAGATGTTGAAAATATTGTTAGACCTTTAACTTCCACAAGCTATCAGCATATCATCTTCAATATCATAATCATACCATGAGCATTTCCCTAGTACAATGCTACAAAAAAGTCAATTTTAAGATAATAAGAGACTGAACACTAGCTAGAGAGCGAGTGCCTGATGTACAAAGATACAGTTATATTGCCCAGCCCTTCTGTGGTAAAGATGTGTTTACTTTAGCTCAGCTGAATTAAAATAGGATGCAAATAACTATTCTGGAACAACTGTACTTCTAGACGAAATCAAACATAAACCTAAGGGAATTCAAAATAAAGGCTCATTCATTCCCTTTCCCTGAAACATTTCTTTAGACTGTTCATACTGATGCCACCAATTTTGTCATTCAAAGATCAAGGTCACGTGCTATATATTTAGCAGTAAAATATGAGTTTTCTAGGTTCACACAGGTATCACTTGACAAAACACCCGGCTATGGTATTTTCAACTTTTAAGTTTGCAGCAAGTCCTCCTAAATCTCTTGATTAAGCATTAGGCTACTACACACACATGTGCTTCCCTGCATTGGTGCCAAAAGATGCTTTCTAGCACCACTTGCAGAGATTACATGGGATGGCTTGGTGCTTTCACTGCTGTTCTCTTGTGCTCCTATTTGAAGACAGAACAAGGTGTGAGGAAAACCTTTCCTTCCTCTTCAGTGTTACTCAAGAATAAAACCCATAGGCACCATAGGCAGCACCACGACCCATCCTCCTGACCTTTTGAATGCACCATCTGAATAACCTTTGAGCTCACTAAATAAGGATTAGTTGGGAGTTCATGGTAAACAGGCCCAATGATGCTGGGAAAACAGGATCCTTGAGTGGTTTGGGTGATGGCCATGCAGCAGAAAGTCTGGAACACAACCACTAGAAAGATTACTCGGCTGTTAGGGATAACATTTGTGGCTGGCAGTTGCAATTCCTCCTGCTGATTGGAAACAGTTCTCTCCAAGAATGGTTCCTGCAGGATTACAGCATATCCCAGCATTTTGTAACCCTCAGTGGAAGTTGTTTTGTTTCTCACAATCAGTACGGAAAAAGTAGACTGTGACAGAGGAAAGGTCAAGAGGTTGTTTCAAAATAATTGCTTTCCGAAAGTGGGTAAATAACATGTTTGTTTATACGGTAGAGAGAGTGCACTGCGGAAAAGGGCACAAGGAGACAGGTTTCTCCACTGCTTCTTGTCTAGTGATTTCTACATAGCATGAGCTTCAACCACAGGTGAGTTACCGCATTTAATTCTGTAATTTTAAAGGGTAGATGTGCAGTTCTGGACTACTGGTGCAAAGCTCTCTTTACAGTCAGTGGAGAGAAATGGTCCCCATAAGTGAGAAAATCGCTTGTCTGTCTTGGCACCAGATCAATCACCTTTGGCAGAGGCCTGTTCCTCCCCGCTGGGGGCTGGGCCTAGGCACTTCATTCATATAGATGTCTAACTAAACACCAACTAACCCAGGCCAGCTGTCTGTACATGGCGTGGCCCATCCTTGGATGTGCAATCCATCCATTTCATTCATTATTTACGGAAGGCTCTATAAGAAGCATAAGAGAAGAAATTGCAATAGAGGAAGAACGGAAAAGGCAAGGCAAAATGGAAAAAAGTAGGTGATGAAAATTACAATACTGGAAGCAGGATGTGAACACAGAAAGAAATTAGGGTAAATGGCCAACCACAAGTAAGACATACTACACTGGCATCCAACTGCTGGTGTGCAGGATGGTTAGAGAAACACAGACTGAGAAACTTGTAAAAGTATTAGTACTTTTATGTAAATGTAATGTTCCAGCTAATGGGTCTTTCATTGCTTCCTTAAGAAGACTTCAAGCTCTTTACCTACATTTTCTTTTACTTCATCATAGCCCTTTATTTCTAGCTGAAATAATGTCTGAGAACTTTGTTTTCAGGAAGTTTCTCCATTGTCCACTTGCTTAATTTCAAAGGCGCCTACATCTTCATATAGGCTTTTTCAGACACTTGGGTAAAGCTCTCCTCAGGTGCATTTTGCCCTCAAAACCCCACCGTTCCTTGACAAAGACAATGAAGCAAAAATAGCTTTGACCCCTCCGATGCTGACCAGTATCATCCCATTGTCTGCTTGCATTCTGCCATCTACCTGTGCCGATTGCCGCCTTTTGTTGTGCACTTCGGACATGTGCTCTTTGTTCTGTTTGTACAGCATCTTGCAAAATGGCATCCTGGCCTGTGGCTGGGGCTCCTGTGCACTAAGATAATACAGGTAATAAACACCAGTGTTTTGTTTAATGTGGCTACGCTGCAAGCGATCCATGTTGTACTGGTAAGCTTTTAAGCGCAGAAGCCCCACGCTGCACAGAGGCACTGCGTAACACCGCTCTCTCCCGTTTTGTATGGGTACCCATCAAGTTCTCCACTCGCCTCAGGCGAACGGGCTGGTTTAGCCCAAGGTTTCTAAGCAGAACCTCCTGGTTAGTTCCCCCCCCCGCCCCGTAGGATTCTTTCTTACTGCAAAGCACGGCCTGAGGCAATTTCTCTGGGGAGGAGACCAAGGTAATGTAGAGGCTACTGCAAGCAATACCGGCTGCTAACAGAAAAGCAGTTCTCCGGAGAGCCCTGCAGGCCAGTTTAAATGGCTCGTACTCGCAGCCAGCTCGTTTTGTCCAGCACCCCCGCACTCCCACCTGCCCGGAACACCACTTCCGCCGGTTCCCCGACTCTGCCCTGGCCACCCGGCGCGTCCCTCGGCCCCCTCCGCCCGGGCCGAGGAGCAGGGCCGCCGGCTCCCCGCAGCCTTCCCTCGGCCTCCCAGATGAGGCCCGGCCACCGCCTCCGCTCAAGCTGGGAGCCGCGGGACAGCACCCCCCTGCCAGGCTCCGCGTAACCCAGCCGCCCAGCCTACCCTGGCACCGCCGCGGGGCAGGCCCCCAGCACGGCCTGGCCTCACTCCCCACCGGGACAATGGCCACAGGGCGCCCTCACACCAACCGCCGCCAAGGCCGCCCTCGGCGCCTGCCCCTTCCCGCCACCGCGGGCCCGCCGCGGCTCCCCCTGCCCCGCCCCGTCCCGCTCCACCCCGCCCCCAGCAGCCCCAGCGGCGCCCCGGCTCCGCCGCCTCCCGGCTCGCAGTGCCCGAGCCGCCGGCGGTTGCGAACCTGCCGCCGTGCGCGGCCCGCCGGGCGCCGCGGCCTGCGGGCGGGCGCTGGTTGGCGGCGGGGGGACACGTGAGGGGGGCGGCGGCGGCGGCGGCAGGAGTTTCCCCGACAGCTGGAGGTTGCGGCGGCGGCTCCTCCTCCCCGGGTCCCCGTTAGAGCCGAGAGACCCCCCGCGCTCCTCCTTATTGACAAACACACAAAGGGCTGCGCCGGGGCCGGGCCGGGGACGCGTCTGGAGCCGGCATGGGAGACAAGAAGAGCCCGACCAGGTAGGGGCAGCGGTGGCGCGTCCTCTTCTCCCCGGGCCCTCTCCGCGGCGGCCGGGTGCGCGGAGCCGGCTGCGATGGCGCCCGGTGGGGCGCCCCCGGGGGGGGGGACGGCGGCGTGAGGGCGGCGTGCCCGGTGTTGCCCCTGGCGCGCGTGTGTCTCCGCAGGCCGAAGCGGCAGCCGAAACCCTCCTCGGACGAGGGCTACTGGGACTGCAGCGTCTGCACCTTCCGCAACAGCGCCGAGGCCTTCAAGTGCATGATGTGCGACGTGAGGAAGGGCACCTCCACACGGTGGGTCGCCGGCGGAGGGGGAGCGGGGCGAGCCGTGGGCAGCCTCCCGCCGCCCCGGGCTGTGAGGGAGGGAGGGCGGCGGTGGAAGAAATCGGGTTGCGTTTACCGGGGGGTCCCGGCCCGGGCTAGGGGGTGCCCCGGTAAACGTGACCCAAGTCGGGGAGCGGCGCCCCGTCGCGTGTGGAAACGGGGATAATAGGCACCCGGAAGGGAAGGATCTCCTGCGCGGCCTGACCCCGCAGGGGCCGTGCCCCTCACACCCCCAGGAACCATCTCTTTTGCGGCGTGCGCTAAGGCACTAGCCCTCCCATGCTTGTTTTTTTTTTTTTTCCTTTTAAACTATTTTTTTCTGTGAGTTTAACTCTGCCTTATAAATACCTCCGTTTTAAAAATTAATATTATTTTAATTAGCTTTTAATCACAACACATCACTGTGCCAGTTTCTAGGGGCCATAAAGGTGGATAAGACCCTTCGTCTGTTTGGGGAGGGATTGTTGATTGTGCTGTGCAGAAGTGCTGCCCTGCGTATCCCTGACTTCCCAGGAGGACCTGTTCCCTGTGCACTCGTCAGAAAGCTTGTGGTGGATTACCTGGTCGCTGTGTCTGGCGGTGTCTGTCAGTATTGTGGCCTAAGCGTGTGTGCCTGGGGAACGGAGGGTGTTTAAAATACCAGCAGGAGTGCGCTTGTAACCATTGCGTTCTAAGGAAAATATTGCTACAGGATCCTTTGTTACAGTTATCATACCTATGGGTTTATCCTGTCAGCAAGAGAAGTTTAAGTGGCAATAAAAGTTGCAATCTGATCAAAACCAGCAATTACATTCCAGATACAGGTCAAAGCAGTGCTGAATATGACTTGCAAGAAATGCTGTATGTTTGAAATTGTAAGGGCAGGGTTGGGTTCAATTACTTGACAAGAATGATTCATCTTTACTTCTAGACTTGATTTCCTAGACTTCTGAAAACCGGAATGAATGTTGAAAGGACTTGTCATAACTTAAGGTTTTGAATGCTAGTTGATTTTTTTTATCTTGTTACTTATTTTTTAAACTAAGGAACTTGGTGAGATAAATGTGCTGAGAGGAGTTGCATCTGTCCTGTATAGCGTGGTTTCCAGTTACAACAATGGCACTGTGTTCATATCACGGATAGATGAGTGCAGATTGGTAATGCTCAGCAAAATAATGCTGCTGAAATAATGAATGTAAAATTGGTAATGCTCAGCAAAATAATGCTGCTGAAATAATGAATGTAAAATCTTTTAAAACGGCACGAGTAAAGCTTCTGAAACCTCCAGTCAGTTTGATAGGTGCAGTCAGTTGAAAATTACGTTTTGCTGCATTGGAAACTCGGTTGGGTAAAAGCAGTGAAACTTAAAAAGACCCAACAACCAAACAAAAAAGGAAAGCCAAACAAGCTGGCAAAGAAGTGTGGAAAAAATAAAACAGTCCTGAAAAAGCAGTGTTATCATTGCCTTCTTTTTTCCCCTCTTGAGTATTTCATAATTTTTTTAATACTTTAGCAACAAAATCTCTTTTTGTTTGTTTTTGCTTTTTTTTTTTTGTTTCCACTTTGTCCCCCACAGTGGTCTGGTAGGCAGACCTTTATCTGATACATTGATTTTTGTTTCTCTGCCTGAATTCTGAAACAGTGTGTAACTGAGTAGGTTTATGGGTTTCTTTTTTTCCCTTAGGTTTAAATGGCTTGCATTTTCAGATGTTTGTAGAGCCCAGGATGTACACACCGGATGAGATAACTGCAGGTTGAGGTTTTAGGCCTCAGTTCAGAAATCAGATTTGAGCTAGTAAGCAGACCTTTGTGTCTGTGGAGGGAGTCATCAGGGTGCCAGAGAGACACAAAAGGCCATTTGGATGGATTGTTTTCTTTTTTCCCCTAAGGAGCTGGAGTCCCAGACACCAAACTGGGGCCTTGTTAAAACATTTTCTGGTACAGCCTGTACAACAACGTGTTTTCCATCAGTGCTGGTCAGAATAACAATGCTGTGGTGTTTTGATGACACGGTGAATTTGGTTTTTTTAAGTCTTCCATTTTGAAGCTTAATGTTAGATTAAGTTGATGCTTCAGCACAGTTCTTAGTGTGCAGTGGTTCTTCAAAATTTCTACTGTGTTTTTTTTTTTTTTACTGAGAGCTTTGTCTATAAGACAGTGTGAAGTACTGGGTTTTTTTTTTAGTTCAGAGAAGTCTTTGGGGTGGATGGTTTGTCTGCTTCTGCGCGTTAAAATTCACTGAATGCGACCGGATTTGCAGATGGAAAAACAGGCAATCATAGTGAAGTTTAGTGGTTTTGAAGGCCCCTGGAAATTAAGTGCAAAGTTCATTAAAACAGTTGTCTTATAAATATATATATATATATGTCATGTCAATTAACAACAGGAATATTGTCAGGTTGGGTAGGGTTTGTGGGTGTTTCCATTGTTGAATAATTCCTTCTCTATGAAAGAATTATCTTTTATGCCAGAAGCTAGACATGGATTATGATCTTTAACAACCAGTGGAATTGTTAAGATTAGTGGAAATAATTCTTATGATTTCTTCATTGTATTTTAATATGCTTCTAGACAACTGAATTTTCAAAGCAGATAGGATCATGGTGTTAACTAATTTCATCCAAGGCGGTATCGCCTTGAATGGTTAAACCAGGCTATTCTTGGATGGGAGATATCCAAGAGAAATCCTGGATGCCGCAAGAAGCAGTGTAAGTAATCCCCAAGGTGGCAGGCACTCTTTTCTGTGTGTTAGTACTAAAAGAGTGCCCCAGCATGGTGTCAGTTGGATGTGCCATGAGTCGGATATAAACTAAGATCCTATCTGCCAGCTGGAAATCCCTGGACCTTTTGCTGTAGAAGTGTTGTCAGACTTTAATTTGATAACGTTACTGAGGATCTAAATTCTCCCTGTAGACATGGCTTTCTTATTTACTTTCTAACCTCAATTGTTCTATATTGCTGCTTGGGTACTGAGAAATTACTGTGTTCCTCTTGATAGGAGACTACTGAATATAGTAATTTTCTACATGTGACCTTTAAAACATTGTCGAATTCTTCTAGATGAAAGATGTTGTATAAATGTAAGGAACCTAGGGTTGTAATAATCATTCCTTACTTGGACAAATCTCCTGCTGAAGTTCATTAGACGCATGAATAAGGAATTCTGAATATGAACCCTAACATACTGCGTTATAGAGGGAACTGGTAATGAACTCTATATTTAGGTTGTCTAATAGTTTCCATTAGAAAGAAATTGTATGATCTCTTTGAGAAGCTCTATTGTTTGCAAAAGCCATTGAAGGTTGGCAAGAGGAAGAGTCCTTAGGCTAAATAAGTGGTTTGATTTCCTTGCCCCATGAAATTAAGTTTTGCTGAGACATAAGCACTTGAAAATTGTGATTCCTTCTCTGTCCCTTGTGTTGTACAGAAAAGTAAAGCGATTGCTAGAACCTTAGTAAAAAAAGTAAAGTGATTGCTGGAAAAAGCCCACACCAGTGTCACTGTAAAAGCAATCATGGAAATTATGTTATGCTGAAAACCAGGAAGAGAATTGTTTGGCTCCTGAGAAGGTTATAGTGGGGTTGCTGAATTTGGTCTGACTCTCACGATACTGCTTTGCCAAAAGAAAGTTGTCTCCATGGGCACGCTACCGTTTTTCCTCTCTCTTTCCTTCTGTTCATGATGTTATCTGAACCAAGAGAACACCAGTACTAGCTGATCTTCAAGAGCTGGGCTGGATCCCTGGACAGACCTTATTGCAGCATTTGTTCCCAGTTTGTCTGTCCTTCAGTAGGTAGTTGGGGTTTGGCTTGTTTTGTTTTCTCGCCAACTAATGGGTTAGTGATTGTAATTTAGATGTGTTATTAAAGATTTGGAGTTCCGGTGCTGCTGGGAAGAGCTAGCAAAAGGACTAGCATTCTTTCTAAAGGGATGTTTGTTGCTCTCTTCTGTTTTTTAGGAGCCTGTGTTAGTGCTCCATCACCTCTTTGCTTCATCTTCCCCAGATCATATTAATGCTGTTGTTATTCAGTTAGTGACAGCATCCAGATTTAAAATTACTTGTTGCTTTGCTTTTCTTGGTGTGTTTTTTGGTGCATGTGTATTATGGTCTGGTCTCTAGTTGCAGGATGCTATTCTTTTTTCTATGCTATGCTTTTCCATTGTTCCAGTGTGAAGGAGGAATGTTTAGGGCAATGTAGTAAGGACCTACAGGAGGAACTGCAACAGCTTGCTAAACTTCTAAATGCTTGGCATGATACTCTGCTGTGTAAATAAAGGAAAAAAGGGGGCCAGGAATATGTGATCAATTTCCCCTTTTTGGAGTCGATAGCATTCTGTGACTTTCAAATTAGGAAAAAGAACAGAATTCCAAAGGATATTTTCACTAGTAGGATCCTCTTAGCTAATAACAGGAGAAGGTTTGTTGTACAATGTTGTAACTATTTTATCCTTGTTATGGTTTTACTTAATTTTTAGAACTACTTTCATTGCTTGCTTTGAGTTCAGTAAAAACTTACTCTTAGCCATAGATCTGTGAGACTCAGTGCACACTATTCAAGCCCAAAGTATTTTCCTTTTTAGCAGGGGCAGGGGGAAGGAGAGTAAGAAGATAAATTAGGTAAAAGTGGTTTCTGTGAAGATTTTTTGGGGGGTTAGGTTTTTTTTTGTTTGTTTTAGGCATTCCTTTCTGATATATGTTGGGTGAGCTGCTATCTGTTATATCATTTACATAAAATAGCTCCTGAAATTTGTAGCCAGAATAAGAAAACCATCCCGAGTCAGGATGAATTTCTGTAGATTTGTAGTGCTGAAGTAGACACATAACAAGCTGAATGGAGGGGCATGGCTTCCGTGTCCTGTGCCCTATTGATTTCCATTACCGAATCATTTCTTTTCTCCCAGCCTAAGGTATGAAAAGCCAAGTTTAAATCATACCAGACATAAGAGTCAGGTATAATGAACTGGGATGCCATCTTTGTACATTTGCTTGA